CCCGATGCTCTCCCGATGCTCTCCCGCCGCTCCCCCGCCCGTCCCGGCGCTGTTCCTTTAACGACGGGGCGGGCGCTGCTCGGCGGGGCCGTCCCGGGTCCGGCGGGGGGGGAAGTGACGGGCGGGGGGCGAGGGCAGAGCCCGCAGAGGGAGGGAGAGAGGGAGGGAAGGAGCGAGCGGTCGCTGGATGAAAAGGGCGAGCGGGCGGCGCTCGGAGCCACCCCCGCGGGGCCGGGGGCGCGGCGGGGCCGCCTTTCCCCCGCCGCCGTGCGCGCCCCCGCCCCACGCCCGCCCTGCCCGGAGCCCGTGGGCGCGGGGGGGATGCGGGGCCCGCGGCGCCGGCTCCCGGCGCTGCCCGCGCTGCTGTGGCTGGCGCTGGCCCCGCTGCCCGGCCCCGCGGCGCGGGCAGAGCTGCGGGTGCGGGTGCGGCTGCCCGGCGGGCAGGTGACCGAGGAGAGCCTGCAGGCCGACAGCGGGGCCGACTGCGTCAGCCTGGAGCTGCGGGCGGCGGACGGGGCGCTCGTCACGCTCACGGCTGATTTCAGACAGGTACGGGGCCGAGGGGAGCATCCCCGCGGGACAGGGATGCGCGGAGCGCCCGCGCCCGCCCGCCGGCCGGTCCGGGGCTCCCTCGGTGGTTCCCGGAGGAGATGAAAGGCAGAGGGGTGGGAGCGCTGGCCCCTGGCACCGCGCGGGTCACGGCTCTGTGAGTGCTTTTCGTGGGATGAGCGGTCCTTCCCCTCCTCCCTCCGGGCTGGGATGGACTCGGAACCTGGGGGTTCCAGGGGCCAGAACTGTTTGATGAGGCGAGGGAGGCGGTGATCCCACACTGAGAAGCAGCCAGGATGACCATGGGGCGATGTGCTGGGGAAGGGTCCGCGCAGGCAAAGAGCGGGAGCTGGCAGGACAGGCACGTGTAGGGGAAACTCCGTCCATCCTCACGCACGGCTGGGGTCTTTGTTTGAGGTCTCTGCAGAGCTCCGCACAGCTCCGAGCCGGTGAACCAGGCTCGCTGTCCCCACTGGTGTCACACCTGTGACCTGGGCTGCCTCCGTGCTGGAAGTAGCCGGTGCAAGGTCCCGGTGGGATGGGTGGCAGTGTCCCTGCACCCGGCTGACCCCGGCAGCGCTGCTCCTCGTTGTGAACGGCACGGCTTTGCATGGCTCTGCATAGTTTTGCATGACAGGCTCGGCACAGCTGGGCACGGAGCAGGGGCAGGGCAGGAGAGTCTGCACAGGGAGATCTCGGGTTCCGGACTCCGGGATGGGAGTGTCCGTGCTCTGCTGTATCTCTGGGATGTCTCTGGGGTGGTTAGTTCCTTAGGTGGGCTCCTGCTGCCTTTGGGAGCTCGTCTGTGTGTGTGGGGGGTGGGAAGTGTTTGACTGACAGCTGTCTGTGGGACTGACAACACCCTCTCCCCCCAGCCCAGAGTGCCAGAGGTGGCCTCTCTGCAGGGAGGTGATGCTGGCTGAGCTGGAGCCCAAAATCCCACCCTTCTCAGTGGCTCCTTGGCCAGCGTGGAGCATTCCAAGCCTGGCTGGATGCAGTGAACTTCCTACTGCTCAGAGAAGAGCCGTTTGCAGCCGTGTGGGTGGCAGGGCTTTGTGGGTGCCATGGCTGTGTTATCTTGTTCCAACCCCCCTTTCAGACTGTTTGCTCAGGTGGACTTTGGTTTTGCAGCAGGAGGAAGCTCAGGCCCATGAGGTAGGAAGGTGATGTGTCCCAACCTTGCTGTGAACCTTGGAGCCTTTTGCCAGGGATTGTCCTGGTGTCTCTTCCCCTTTCAGCTGCGCTCCTTGCAAGCTCCCAGGGTCCCCTCTTCCATCTGGGGTGGGTGCAGGGGCAAGCCCACCTCTCTCTGAGATGGCAGCAGAAGCCATGGAGATTTTGGAAGCAGTAGCATGCTCCAAGTACTCCAGCACATGTGCAGGGAAGCAGCCCCACGGCTCCTATTAAAAAAACAATATTAAAACATTGCAAGAAGACGTGGCCCAGCAGGGAAGTTAAGGGAGGGAGGGCTCTCAAGCCTGCAGATTGCAAACTCGCACACTGCAGTGTATTCCCAGGCAATGGAAATCCAACCTCATTACAGATCCTCTAGGTAGGCCCTTTGGGACCCTGGGATGTGACCTGGGGACTGCTGGTGTCCTGAGGTGTTCATTTGTTTTGGTTTTTTCAGCATTTTTCACTTGCTTCAGCTCTTCTGGAGAGCTCAGATCTCATCCACAAACCCAGCAGGGTGTATGTTATCTCCTCTCTGGCCCTCATCCTTATTATAGTCGAGCTTCCTCTGGGTTCAGGTTCTCTGAAGGTCTCTGGCTCCAGTCTGTTAAATCCCGAGCTCCGTGCATCCCCTCAGCTCCTGCTGGAAACACACAGATGGGCCCTGGAAGGCTTTGCAAGCCTCGGACTCGCAGGAGCTCATTCCTCATCTTCAGTTTTAGAGCAGTTGGGAACTGGCTCTCTCTGCCCCGTGGCTTTGCTGGAAAAATAGCTGAAAAAAGCCAGGAAATGATAAAGGAGTGGGGAGCTGGCTGTGCAGTGAGTAATGGGGTGAGCAGGCAGCAGCCTGGCCAGGCTTCCCCCTCTGCACCCGGGCAGTTCCCCGTGCTCCTCTGCTGCTCATCTCTCCAAAATTGCACAACTTCTCCTCCCCGGTGAAGGTCGTGGGGTTGGTTCTGAGTGCTCACAGAAGCAGCTGGGGTTGTTGCCCTGCTGCCCCGAGCCAGATTGCGTGGCTGCGCTGTGGCCAGGATGCTGGGGTTTTTCCACAAATGATTTTTCCACTTCCCTGGCTCAAACTGCAGGGGGTTAGTCCAAAAGGCAGGTTTTTATTTTTTTTTTCCCCTCCTCTCTGCCGGCAATTTGTGGTTGCCAGACCAGGGGCTGGAGAAGAAAGGAGCTAAATGAGATCACTGTTCATTGCTTTCCTCTGACACTGGTGGGACTTGAGCAGTGCCTGAGGCTTCCACAGAGTTGGGGTTTTCATTTCTCCTCCAGCCCTGCCTCCCCTCCAGAGCTGAACCTGGAGGAGTTGTGGCCTCAGAGCACACCAGGTTTTTTTGTTCTTTAGTGCAGCACATACTGGTCAGTGAGAGTCCAACCTGGGACCTGGTGTTTTCTGGGCAGTGCAACAGTGACCATTTATCATATTGGCAAGAATGTGATGAAAACACTTATTTTCCTGCATAGTAGGGGAAAAAAAAGTAATAAAACACTGAAGGGGGACATCAACCCTAAATGTTGTATCTAATCTGAAGAACATGATCTTGCCCGTTGTTAAAAATGGCCTGAGAACAAAGTGGGTGGTTTTATTTCAAGGTCAGCACAAAGATGCAGAAAAGTTTCTTTTCCCTTTTGATTGCTGGAAAAGTTGAGTTGGAAACACAAGGGAGCAAGTCTGGGTTAATGGTATTTTAACACTTGCCCTGCCAGTCCATGCAGGGTCCTTGTTGACAAGGCTGATGTTCTGTGGTGTTTTGGTGTGGTGCTTTCAGAATTTCCTTCTGACGAGGGGCCATTGTGTTTGTTGACAAATGACCAGGTGATACAGAAAGCATCTGTCCAAGATTGAAACTGTGTGATTGGGAAAGCAGATTGTTCTCTGGAGAGGTACCAAAAATAGAAAAGGAGGGTCATTCAAGGCAGGAGGGACGGGGTGGGCTCATTAAAACACGGTGCTGTTTGTCACTCTGACTTGTAGAATCTTATGGCTGTGAAAATGTGCTTGCTTTTTTTTTTTCCCCTCTCCAAGCACATCCTTGATTCACCCTGAATATGTGGCAACACAGCAAAGTGACTTCATTCTAGGAAGAGAGGGGTTAAAAAGCACAATCCCCACCCACTCAGGGTAACTCAGCTGGACCCCCAGTGTGGATTCGGGAGCACATTTCGTGTGCTGTCCAAGCACGTGGAATTCTGGCCAGCTGTGGCTGTTCCCTGGGGCCCTGACCACAGCAAAGGCTGCTGACAGGGCACAGAATTGGGCACAGAATTGGGCTGGTGTCACCCCTGCAGCACATCCCCCCTGCCTGTGCCCCCTGCTCTGAGCAGCCACGTGACAGCAGAGACAAAAGTGGGTCCCACAGCAGCACTGATGGCCTTGGGGGGGAAAAAATTTTAGCAGGAAAGCTGAATGGGCTGCAGGGAGGAAGGCATTGAAATAATTAATTTCCCTGGGAACTGGTTTGCTCCACTCCAAGTGGAGGGCTCTGGACCACACAGGATTGTGAGTCCCTGCTGGATAGACCCCGAAATGGGGCATGGATTGTTCTCACCCCCCAGATGACAGTCCCTGGAGGAGCTGGCTGAGGACAGCACGAGGAGGGGAGAAGTTTGATGGTTTCCCTGCTCCTCCTTGCAGGCCAGTCTTTGCTGGAAGTCCCTTTGGTAGGCATGGGGATGTTGGGAGCTCGGAGCACTGATTTCCTTCCTTTAGGAAGGAGGAGCTGCTCCCCCTGTGCCATGACAGCCTGGGCTGTGTCACCTGCAGTGCCCCAGAACTGGCTGCTCCCTGTCACACCGGGTGTTTGTCACTCAGATCCAAGCAGGAGGTGAAGTGTCCCTGCCACAGGAGTGCAGGGCAGGGCCGAGGATTCCCGACGCCCCCGCGATGAGTTCACCTGGAGAGTCCCCACAAAGCTCTGCTGGGACTTGTTCCCTGCTGGGAAATTTTGCAGAAACCCAGAGGTTCAGGGTGCTCTTTGTTGCCTTGGCTGGGTACCCACCTTGGCACTGGTTCACTCTGCTCCTGCTGCCGGGAAAGAGGGGAGGTGGCTGAGGGGGGAAAGGTGCTCTCTGAGGAGGAGAAACTTTGGTGGCTCTTTCCATGTGAGATATTTTTTTTTAAGTGACACGCTTTGGTTCTTGCTCCACCTGAGCCATAGCCAGGGCAGGGAGAGCTGGGAAGCTGGGGAAAGCCAAGCAAGGCTTTGGGACAGGCTGGGGAAGAGAAGAGCCTGACTTCTTGCTAAGGACAAGAAGTCCTTTATCCGGAAAATGGGCATCCCCAGCAAGGATCACTTTGGCTTTGCTTGGAGCCAGGGAAAGGTGGGATTTCTCTCTTCAGAACAACTCGTGCCACAGGAGCCAGGTCCTTGAACAAAACAGCTTTATTAAAGCTGCTCCTTGGCTCACTGGCTGTTTCAGTGCTGGCAGCACAGCCCATTCCTGCCTTTCCCAGTGCATCTCCCTTGGTGTCAGCAAATGTGCTGGGAATCCCTGACACCTGGAGTTGGGGCAGGGGGAGCTGAGAACCTCTCCTATGTCTCAGCCACGAGGAGGAAGGAGTTGGCTGTCTGAAGGCTAATTCTTAAATAGACGGATCAGGAGGATTAATCAGTTGCTCAGCACGTTCTCATTTTACAGAAATTGCCTCCAACCTGGGAAGTGCTGCACTGTTTTTAATCTCCTGCCTGCAGAGGTTTTCAGCCTGAGTGCAAAACATGGTTATCCCTGTTTTGCTTTTTTCCGGGCTGAATGCTGGTTGTTCAAAGCGAATTCAAATTAAATCCACAGCTGAAGAACATGCCAGAGTCAGCTCCTGGTTTTAGGCCACTCATCCGTGGGCCGTGCTCGGTGTGGGAGCTCACAGCTGGAAGGCAGCTGGACTGAATGTAGATGGGAATGTGGGTTGTTCCAGTGGTGCCAGTGTCTCAGTGGGAAGTCTCCCCATTAAATCTGTGAAAAAATAATGATTCCATAGCAATTTCACAAGCATTTTTGGTATCCCTTCCTTCCCAAGCCTCCTTCACGACTGTGACCATGTCAGAAGGTCTGTATGTAAAATACCAAAACTATTGACCCAGGCAGAAAAGGAGGTCGGCTGCAGCTGATCATAATGGGCTATTCTGGCTTTAACAATTCGATTTTCATTTCTGTTCCACATGCTGTTGGGTTCAGAAAAATTAGTAATTTTTTTTCTCCAGGATACCAGTTGTCCAGAAGCAAGTGAGGGAAGGCAGCAGGGGAGATTTGGGACTGCTTACTAAGTGAGGCATGGAGATAATAGCTGTGTGATACTTGTTTAACAAAACCAAACAAGGCTCCTTGGAGTGTTGCCTCCCTTCTTGGTGAAGGACAGAACCCCCAGCTGCTGTTTGAGGAAGCCGTGGATGTGGGATGTGACCTGGCAGCAATTTGTCCTTGCCACAGTGGGGTTGGGAAACCCCTTAATTCTTTCCATACAACAGTGACTCCGCTGCAGGCTTCTGGGTGGGATTGAACCTGGGACTACACCCCTGTGCTCAGGCAGCACAAGGATGAGACCTTGGACTTTGTTTTTTGGCTGGAGCCTTTCTGAAGCCGGAGCTTCTCGGTTCACCCCACTGATGGCAAAGATTTGTGACTCTCACTCTTGTTCTTTATCTCTCTGTCAGGAGGTGAAGATCTTCCGTGCCTTAATCCTGGGGGAGCTGGAGAGGGGCCAGAGCCAGTTCCAGGCTCTGTGCTTTGTGACGCGGCTCCACCGCAACGAGATCATCCCCAGCGAGTCCATGGCCAAGCTGCGCCAGGTACGAGGCTCCATCCAGGCTTTCCTGGAGCTGGATGCCCTCCCCAGGCAGCTGCCTGAGTGTTCAGCTCTCAGACACACCTTTGACCACCCCTCCTGCTTGAGGGACTTGGTATTAAACTAAGTTTATCAGTGGTACTGAGCCTAAGAGGGAGGCAGGGTTTAGTCCAGCCTGTATCAGGGGTGAGTGGGTGGCCGTAAAAATCCCTGTCCCAGTGAAGTCAGGTCAGAGCTGGGGCCATTTGTCACAACAGAACGTTGAGAAACCATCACAGGCAAATCAGAGCAGTGGTAAAACATGATGGGTTCAGCACCAACAAGTTTTTAAAGTGCCTTCCACCCAGGTGCATTTCCAGAGGAACATCCATTCGCACATCTTTGGGACAGGCTGGGGAAAAGGAAAGCCTGAGTTCTTGCTCAGGAGTGGCCACTGCAGGGTACATGTCTCCCAGAAAACGGGCATCCCCAGCAAGGATCACTTTGGCTTTGCTTGGAGCCAGGGAAAGGTGGGATTTCTCTCTTCAGAACAACTC